TTTCTATACGTTTGTGTTTCACGTGCACCATTGCCCAGTGGTGCATGTGAAACATGAATATCCAACGCAGTCAATAAAAGGTCTTTAACTTCTCCATTCCCAAAACCATGTGATTGCATTTGTGCAGATGTGAGAACTGTGCTGGAAATAATTTGATTTGATTTGAGAGCTTGACCCATGTCCTGGCTCCTGTACGCTCCACTCACCTACACCAATGCGCTACAGGTGAGAGAGGATATGTTGGGGCAATGCCCCACCTTGATTTAACAAAGGCTGCATTTTCTCTTGAGTTTCTGAGAGCACTTTAGCAGTGGAAAACATCACCCTGTCATTTTTTACTATCAACCTGTCGTCATATTTCTGTGACAGAGCCGCTAAAATATCTGTATTAATACAAACAGCAGCAGAGAAATTGCCACAATACTGACAGGCATGGATGAAATGGACACACTTGCACACTGACATATTGTTTGGCATGAGAAATGTTAACTGCTTCTAGCAACCATGACTTCACCAGAAACTGAAAACGACACTGGCTGCAGAGATACTTCACTCAATACTACTGCTTTGATAAATGGAAAATAACACCCCATTGAAACCTGATGTCAGGCTACATTAATGTGAAACAGAAACACCATCATAATTCAGTCTATGAGAGCAGCTCCAGTGATAAACACAATGTAACAGTTTTCCTGTTTGATATTAAAGGTTTTCTACAGAATGCAGCGGTCTCTCTGCGTGGATGAGTGCAGCATCATTTTCTGCTTTCTGTTGGTGACAGTTAATGCCGGGAAGGTATTCTGCAGTGTGGACACACTAACGGTAATCAGTGTGGTTGTGTTGCCTCGTGAGATTAGCAAAGTCACAGAGTGGAGATTTATGCCTGGGCAGCGTGATGCCATTATCCTCCACAGAATGCATTAACATTTTCTTTCTCTAATTACAAATACAGCCTCTGTTCATCAGCGGATAATTAAAGGTCTGTCTAAAGGTTTCCTGCTGGCTCTGACAGTCACACACAATGCTCTGTGAGCTGTTGCTCAATCTGAGAAGACTTCACAATCTGTCCAATCAAACCTTCCTTCACTTTGAAACAGTTTGCTTCCCACGGTTCCACAAGAGCTGGAGAACACACAATGAACAGAAATGAAATACTAAAAACGAGCACTCATCTCTTTTTTACTCCCTCACACAGGAAGATAGTAGCAGATAGCACACAGGATCTACTTTGGTCTTTGTCTTAAGACAAGCACTGGTAATATGCAGCCATGCATATACCTTCACTTGGTATTGAAGTCCAAAGTCATCCTACAGACTACCATCCATGCAGACACACTCTCCCCTGCCACCACCTTGCAGACTCTTCTCGTTCAGGTTCAACTTTGTGCATAAGATAACTGTTTGCACCTTTGTCCACACTTATACTCTACGTTCCTTACTCTTCTTAAACAATGTGTCCACCACATAATTTAAGATGAAGTATGTGATCAATACATGCTTCCATGCTTTTGCCTTCCTTTAGAGCAAATCCACTAACATCTGTCCATCCGCATTTTTCTCCTTAACTTCATACCTATGTAACACCTCCTCTTCATCACCTCTGTTCTCTTAACCTACATGTGCACTGAAGCTTGTTCTCTCCACCCCCCGGGAACACTCTCTACCACTTCACTTCACCCAACAAACGTCAACATTTCTTGGACATCCAACCTGTGAGGCATGTGCACTTACATCATTCAACATCGCACCCTTGATTTCCTTCGCATCTTCTTAATAATAAAGAACTTTACATGTAATACACTAAACCTTTGTATCATGTTTACTGTGTCATATCTATGGTGTGGTTTCATAATCAAGACTGTTCGTGAAACGAAGAGCATAAGGTTTAGATAAGTGTTCAACCCTGTAAAATGATTTTTCTTCTTTGTTTTCTTTTAATTAACATTTAATATGCGCAAACAGCGTAAAGGTTTTAATTCTACAGCTGGACTGCATCTCTTCTATATCACTGCAGGATCATCTTTTAGTTTTGCTCAGGTTCACACATCATACCAGTCAGCTATTGGACCAGGATTAGCATCAAAAATAGTTAAGATATCACAAATCTTCGGGTATGTTCAATTTGAAAACAGCATGTTTCCAGGTTGAATTACACATTTTCTAGAAACATATTGGTGGGTGTGTCACAGATGTTACACAATCAGCAGAAATGTGTGTATAAACCCAGCTACATTAAAAGGCAGAGCACAGCTGCCATAGCATGAATCTTCATTTCACGTCTTTCAACTCAAATAAACGTTTTGCTCCTTTTTGTCATGGCTGAACATCCTGCCAGGCAAAATGGCTTTAACCGAAATTCAAGTTAAGCGCTGCGAAACTTTCTTCTTTCAGCAGATGAACTGAAGTGTCACACTCTGAATGTATTCGGCACAGTGAAGCTCCAACATCTAACAGAAGCAAAAACGATCAAAACACATTGTTGAGTGCCGAGCATTTAAAGGCTTAAATTACAGCAACTGCACGTTTGAGAAGAGTTGTAAATTCTTGTCTCTTGCATGAAAGTTAGACGTGCAACACGTTCAACCTGAACTCGAATTACCTCCAGCTTTGGTTTATAGAAGAATGCACTTGCATTACTTCTAGATATAAACAAAGGGCGTTGAGTTATTTTGGTAGCATCAGGCTTCAGTCAGAGTTCCAACCAGTGTTGCCAACTCCTCAGTAAGGAAAATCGCTATTGGCTGTCCTAAAAGTCGCTAGAAGTCGCTAAATGACGCCATCGCCTAATTTGCATAATTGGTCATGCTAATCTAATTGTAAGCTATGTTGTTGGAGAGAGAAATAACATCGTGGAAGAGACATAACGTGAGTAAAAAATGTCCTAAATGCATTTAGAGTTTATTTAGAGCTACAAATTAAATTTATTTTAGCAATTATTGTTTTTTTTAATGTCACAATTCCAACCCTGCTCCTTTACCCGGGCTTGGACCGGCAAAAGTGACCCGAAATAGGCGCTCTGGTGGAGTTACTTTGTGTGTGTGTTTATAAGTAGTTTTAAACCTTGTGATCCACAAAACAGCATAAGAGTAAAAGAAGAACTGACTGCGTTACAGCACCCGCTGCTTGTTGAGAGTAAAAGCAATACGCACTTTCACGTCTTTTTTTAGAAAAAAAGTCACTAAGGGGTCTGAAAACTCGCTAAATATAGCGACAAAGTCGCTAAGTTGGCAACACTGGTTCCAACAGATCTTTCATCATAAATAAAACAAAAACAAACTTGAAATTTGTGGTTTAGCTGTGTCAATAATCTCTACGTGTCAAACAAGTCGTTTCATCAGTATGAAACTTTCTGTCCAGTGATTGGTTCCAACTGGACCCAGTTACATTTATTTTCAAAAACTGATTTAATCCTGCAAGCTAATCATTCCCTTCCAGCATGACACAAACAGGTACTTAACATCTCTGTGCTCCACGTCTGTGCATTTTGGGTATTAAAACTTGGAAATCGACATGTCAGCACATGTGAGGGATGATGGAAACCTTGATGTGCAGGGAAGAAGCAGCAGCAGTGTGCTCCAGCGCTAATACTCGCAATCTGAGCCACATGACTGCCACAACAGGCTCCCGTATAATTCTTCTCATGCAGTCAAAAGCACTCCTAATATCCACAGGAATCTAAATGTGTTCATCAGTAGCAATCACCAGCCCCCTCTACAAAACACGCCTGATGATCTATGCTGATGATGTTTTCTAGTGCTTCATAACGCCCACATAGCCCATGGATGTGCCATGCTAGGGGGCCATAATAATGAGGTGATAACAACCCACATGTTTGTTAGAGCTGATGCTGCAGGTTGGCAAAGTCACAGCGAGCTCCACATCTACTCACACCTGTCTAGGCTCTCTGCCCCGACATGAGGGACACGAGGAGCAGCTGCTACAGGAAAGCGTATTCTTTACTGACGTTACTGTACTGATGCTGAAAGCACATCACTGCTTTCAGAGCTGTAACCTATGTGAAGTTATACCTTTAAATAAAATAGGTGTTGTTTTGTTAGCTTGGGATTGATAAGGAAGTCTTTTATTCATGCAAAGGGAGTGTCTGTCAACCAAGTCACTAGCAGAACCGTGACGATTACGATTGGGTTTTCTTTTAGCCATGTATACAGTCTAATACATTTTTGCATTAGTTTTCTGCTATGAGATGGCTAGTAGCCAAACCCTAACCCTACACGGGCCACCACCAGGGGGCAAGAAGCTGAAACATGATGCCAAAGTGGAAGTGGCAAAAACTATAATTAAGGCTGCTTCCAAAGTCAAACTCTGTAGACTCCAGTGTTAAAAAAAATGTCTATAGCACTCAAAAGTGTATTTACAAAAAATAGTCTCAACCGCCATAAAAAACCTGAGTGGGCTTGTTGTTTTACCCATTTTTGTGGCTCACATTGACAGTTATCAGGACACTGGCAAACAAACTGGTAGAGCTAAGGTTGGATTTTAGCCTTATTTATAAGACGGTACCTTTAAAATCAAGACTTCTACACACACACACACACACACACATATATATATGACTCAGGACAACAGAAAGCGTTTATAGTTTTCTTTTTGAGTCCATTTTAGAATCAGTCTACAGTCGAGCAGGAACGAATTAAGCACCAATCATGAAACAACTAGAGCACAGTCCCACGAGGCTGTTGTCTGCATCAAAGTAAAAGTGCTAGTTTTGCAGCTGATGATCTCAGATTGTTGTTCCAAGTGTCTGACAACATTATAGAAGAGATCCCTAGAGAGATACATCTCACATCAAACAGTGTCTCACTCTGATATCTCGCTGGAGGAGCGTTTTTGCAGGAAGACAACAGGGTAAACATGACAGAGAGGAGAACAGGGAGTGGATCTTACTGGGACCTGAATGATTTAAGAAACAAATAATAGCACATTGTTTAATTGTGGCTACAAAATGATGCATCACAGTGGGGGGAAGTTGCACTGACTACCTTTAGGAGATGCACTGAAGTTGGGGGTAGTGACACTCCTCACCGTGCTGCATAAACTGTGGAGTTTGGAACAACTTTGAATGAGAGGATTCTGAAAACAAACAGAAAAAATCCAACTTTAGATTCAGTTTCCCTCGGGAGAAATGCCTAATTAAAAGCAAAGTGCTCTCAGGAAGGCCAAATAAAGCCTGTGTTTGAGTTCTTTCATGATTTTGTTGAACTTCCTGCTAAACATGAAGGTATAACAGGATGAAATCACAAACAATCGCTCAGAAAATAAAACCCTGAACATGTTTGTGTAGATTTTATTTAAGCACTGCTGCACATACAAACTGTATTTCATAAAGAAACAGCTCCACATATTTTTGCTAAATAGTAATCACTCAAAGCCCAAAAGAGGGAATTTAGGATCCAGGTTGAACAAAAAAGAACTTTAATCCTCTGTTTAAACCCCTTTAAATCTTTCCATTCCTTTAAAATAACACGTCGCTGTTACCAAGACAAAAAACTCCTGCCTTCCTTTATTCTTTATCATCCACTTCACTTAAGCTTCACAAGACAACAAATATATTCAGACTTTTCCACTGATGAATACTGAGGTGCATCTTCCATTGCAGAGGACAGAATAAAATAGTCAGAATGTCAGAAACTGATCTGAGAATGCCGAGGTGTTTAAAAAGGAGAATTTCATAGTTTTCAAGTAACATAATTTAGAAATGTGTCTGCTGTGTGAGGTTTGCGCAGCCAAAATATGAGGTAGTTGTTATAGTGGATGCTAATGAGCCACTCAGCTGTTTCACAGCTGATCAGCTTGTTAAGTCTTGAAAAAACGACCCTGTTTCCAGGTCCAAGCGTCTGCTGCACTGGATCAGGCACTCATCCTTTTAACGTGTTGCATTGCTTCATCGCATGTTTTGCTAGACATGAGACCCCAAAAACTATTCAGCTGTCATGTTAGGCTTCTGTTGGTCTTTCATGTCTATCATAGTTTGTATGAACTCATCGTATGACCCACACACCAAATATTTAATGCTTACTCTCAGGTTAGTTAGGATCAGGACTTTTTCACAGCAAGTAATCCACAAACCGCACTGCAACATACTGATAGCTGTCCTTGTGTTGAGACTGGGGTTATCTCTCCCACGACTGCTCGGCTGAGGTTTTGTGCATCGTCTCCTGCTGTCATGTGATGGCATTTGTCTCTGCTGATACGGGAATCTCAGAATGTACTTTTATCGAGAGCAATTAAACTCTCCTCCAACATCATGCCTGCAATAATATATTTATGTTAGCCTGCTGATAGCTCTGTAAGTAACATGTCATCAAAACTTTGCTCTTTGATAAAGCTTAGGACTGGATCAGGTGACCCTGAACCTTTTCTGCATAAAAGCCTCGGCTGCTGGGTTTCCATGATGCACTGAGTGTTTCTTAGTGTTTCTTAGTGTGTTTATACACACTTTAAACATTTATAATTAAACTTGTTTTTACCTGTTGAAAGGGAGTTTTTCCTCCCCACTGTCACCAAAAGCTTCCTGATAGGAGGGCGTGTGATCGTTGGGCTTTTCTCTTAGTTATTGTAGGGTCTTTACCTTACAGTATAAGTGCCTTGACGCAAAAGTCTTTGTTACCATTTAAATAAAACTGAATTCATTTAGTGGCGATCGTGGCTCAAGAGTTGGGAGTTCGCCTTGTAATTGGAAGGTTGCCGGTTCGAGCCCCGGCTCGGACAGTCTCGGTCGTTGTGTCCTTGGGCAAGACACTTCACCCGTTGCCTACTGGTGGTGGTCAGAGGGCCCGGTGGTGCCAGTGTCCGGCAGCCTCGCCTCTGTCAGTGCGCCCCAGGGTGGCTGTGGCTACAGTGTAGCTGCCATCACCAGTGTGTGAATGGGTGGATGACTGGATATGTAAAGCGCTTTGGGGTCCTTAGGGACTAGTAAAAGCGCTATACAAATACAGGCCATTTACCATTTAAAGTATGTGTGCTTAATATGTCTGGACATTAAACTACCATAGTACCTGAGAAAACAGCTGACTGAAGGTTGAATTGTCCCTTCTGCTTTTGCAAACTGAGCATTTGGACCCAGAAATGGTAAACAGTCACTCTTGAAAATGACATTTAACTGCATTAATAAAGGTGAAATGTGGAAAAAAAAAGAATTAAAAAGAATTTAGTAAAGTGAACTTTAAAGCACTTAATTCAAACATACTTCCAACGCTGCTATACAAACACAATGTCATTAGTTACCAGGAACAGATGAACCAAAAGCAGGACACTGGTCCAACATAGTAACTAAATTCAGCCTTTGTTAGACCAATAGCAAAAATTCAGGCAGATGAACAAAGGTGCAAACAACACAGACTAGAATAAATAAATCATAATTTAAAAGTGTCACAATAAGAAAACACAAGAGCAGGAATAATGAAAGAGTAAAGGGTTAACAGCAGGTGGAAAACAATCACAGAGGAGGTTAAAGGCACAAAGCAAATTGCTAATAGACACAAAAGAAAATTAACATTCAAAGTAAAAAGGAAGCAACCATAGACTGTGCATGATAACCACCATGTATTAACAAAGTGAGACACAAAGAACTGAAACTACTGCAGTGAATAAAAACGTGACAAGTAAACAGAACAACAAGAATAACCATAAAGCTAAAATACCCAGAAACTCACACACAAGAAACAAAAACACTTATAACTAAACAATAAAATCAAAAGAGGGACAGACCTCAAAAACATAAAAAGAATAAAAAGGTGGCATGACAGGAAACATAATCCAGAAGTGATAAATCATGAAGATCTCAGGTAATTTCAGATGAAAGAACTCAGGCTAACGTTGCTCTGAAACGAACACGTGAAGCATCAACGTATCAAACTAATATTCCGAACCACACTTTGTTTTTCTTCTCGTGAGAATGATCTAATTACTTGTGGGTGAAATCTGATGAAAAATTGAACTGAACTGTCTTACAGAAATGAATTTGAATTTTCTTTAGATCCTGTGTTGTCTCGATGTGTTTTGTCAGTGTACACTTAGCTTCACAGTGACATATGCTAAATGTAAAGTCCTGGTCTTCTGCTTTTTCCATTACTTATCAGCCATAAACATAGACAGGAGATATATAGCCTATTTAGTCTTTTGATTGGGACATCATCTATGCTTTGAGGAGACGTGTTCCCTGTCAGGGTGAGATACCTAAACTAATTGATCAATGGAAAGTGCACAGGATGAGAAAGAGCTTGTAAAGTCAAAGTAACTCTCTGTGAGTGGATGTGGTTGGGATTTAGAGGAGGCAGAGATGGGAGATGCTGTCTTTGATCTCTGATCAAGGCAATGTATTCATCAACTTCTGAAGGTGGTGCAGCACTCAAAAGTTTACTTCCCACTTCTGTTTGTGCTCTTCGATCATCCATCAACACAAGAACGTGCCTATATGAGGCTCATGCAGTATATTTATTTGATTCATGGTTTATGTCTCCCTTTGATGTCAGTGAATCCTAACAAACTGAATCAGCATCACTCAGACGGAGCTTTGTTTACATTTTTACTGTAAACTGGAATCAGTTAACTCCAAAAGTATATCCACACGTGCCAAGAAAGAACTCATTGTGGTCTCAGCCATTACATCCTGGTAATTAATCAAATAATTATTGCTATGCTGATAAGATCTTTATAGAGAGCTCTGACGACTACTGTGTGGTTGTGACTGACAATCCGCTCGTCCCTACCAGGACCCGCACAGGCTTTACAAACCACAAAACCAATGTTTAATATAAAAGCAGAAAAACATTTATGTTGAAAATGCATCAACGCTGAATAGTGAATAATTGCAATAACTATACAACTAAAAAGAGTAAAGGTAATAGATAAAATGTTTCAGTTACACTTGCTAAGCATTTAATTTCTCTGGGGGCAGCCGCTCCTTTTGTGGACTTTTGTCAACACTATAACACACTTTGAATGGCAGACCCCTCATTTTCATAATTAAGCAGAAATTGAGTTAAAAAAAATGTAAAAACACAGAAATTTAGGAAATAAATAGATGGGTGGGCTGCAGAGGAGAACCCAGTACTGGCATACATAAACAGAGACATAAACAGAGACATAAACAGAGACATAAACACTCAATATAAGTCAGATATTATGCAGAACATTTACAAATATTTACTAATCTTGCTGCATTTCATACCATGTTCATTTTTTACTGATATTTAATATTTCATTTGTTGCTGGCTTTTTATCATTATTATCATCTCAGTCTTACAAGAATGCAAACTGTCTTCTAAGCCTGATGTAGCATAAATAGCAATGAGCCCATGTGTGGGCCAGTCTGTAAGCTCTGACTGAGCTCTGAGTTCTGAGTTTTCCCCTGTGCTCCGTATTTTGTCCTGGCTCTGAATGTAGCAGATGGCACCAACAATGGGCTTTAAACCGACCCAAACGAAACCAGCAGGTAGTGTCACACCTTGTAACTTCCATCTTTATAAATACTGTCAGGTACACTCCTCCTTCAAACACCAGCTCTCCAGTCATAGTTTCCGGTGGCACTGCTGTTTGTGTCGTCTTCTTACAATTCAACAACTTTGCAGAAGCTGACAGGAATAATAAGCTCCTCTTTGCTCATTTCCACCAGTCAAAAACATCAGTTAGCTGTTGTATCGAACACTTCCATCTCTTTTACAGAGAATCCCGTTATGATATAAAGGTGGATCGAGCGTATGTTTGAGCATAACTAATAATAATGTCAGTAAAATAACATGAGAGCTGCTTCGTTTCTTCATAGTATTTGGGATTTTTGTTTACTGCTGGTCCAAACTAACTGGACAAGGACAGAAAACTTTTATTCCCAATCTGAAGCAGCTGAGAGAACCCAGACAGGGTCATTGTCCCCATGTTGGTCACATCGCCTCTTGTGATCTGTCGTGGCCGATGTGTCTAACGAGGCAGCCGGCTGAGGGCAGACAGGTAAGAGGAGTGAGCAGCGTGACCAGGAGGCCGACTCCTGTCAAATTAATGTCCTCCACTACGAGCCGCTCGATAAACTTTCCCAACAGCACCTGATGAAGGATGTCTTCCTACTGTTCTCATCG